TATAGATTTTCTGTACATCTGTCAGCATACTTTCTTATTTCTCTTTGGCCTGATTCCCAAGATTAGGTGAGTGCTGGCTCTTTCAATGGGCTAGACCACAAGTATGATTTGGGGAGAGTGCGGGGGTGGGGTGGGGTGGGGTGGAGGTGTAAATGAAAAGCCCATTGCTCCATTGTCTAGAAGCCATGATCGGGGTCCAAGAATGTTCTTTCTTAAGCAACATCTCTGTTATAAACTGAGGCCTCCTCACTAATATTTGTGTTATCACTTTATTGAATGGACATGAAAAGATTAGAACAGATGAACAATTAATGTAGCTGAGTTAAGCATGGCCACACTTGGTGTTGTTCAGACACCTTCTGGCTGGGACACAGAGGTGACCTAAGATGCAGAGTCAAGTATGCAGGAGCATGTGTATGCCCAGAGATGCTTGTTCATTTTCCTCTTTTTTTATTAATTTATTTTTTTACATTCTAATCCCAGTTCCCCCTTCCTCCTTCCCTCCCATCCCCTCCACTACCCCCTCCTCCCATCTGCTCCATGGAGAAGGTAAGGCCTCCCCTATGAAGTCTACTAAGTCTGTTCCATCATCTAGTTGAGGTAGGACCAAGGCATCTCTCCACCCCCCACCCCAACCCCCCCATATCCCTGTGTCTAGGCTGGACAAGGTATCTCTCCATATAGAATGGGCAAAGTTAGTGTGCATTAGTTTTAGGTCTTGGACCCACTGCCAGTGGCCTCATATACTGTCCCAGTCACACTATTGTCACCTATATTAAGGGAGTGTAGCTCGGTCTTATGCAGGTTCCTCATTTGTCAGACTTAAGTCAATGATCTGTCACTAGCTCAGGTCAGCTGATTCTGTGCATTTCCCCATCATGGTCTTGACTCCTTTGTTCATATTTTTGCACCTCCCTCACTTTGATTGTATTCCAGGAACTTGGCCCATTGGTTAGTTGTGGGTTTCACATCTACTTCCCTCTATTTCTGGAAGAGGGTTCAAGCTTCTCTGGGGTTATGTATTGTAGGCTGGGTATCTTTTGCTTTATGTCTGGTATCTACTTATGAGTGAGTACACATTGTATTTGTCTTTCTGGTTTTGGGTTACCTCACTTATGATGACTTTTTCTAGTTCTGTCCATTTGTCTGTAAATTTTAGGATATCATTGTTTCTTATCACTGGGTAGTACTCCATTGTGTAAATATACCACGTTTTCTTTATCCATTCTTCAGTTGAGGTGCATCTAGGCTGTTTCCAAGATCTGGCTATTACAAATAATGTTACTATGAACATAGTTGAGCAAGTGTCCTTGTGGTGTGAATGTGCCTCCTTTGGGTATATGCTCAGCAGTGGTATTGCAGGGACTTGAGGTAGGTTGATCCCTAATTTTCTGAGAAATCGCCATACCGATTTCCACATCAGTTTTACAAGTTTGCACTCCCACCAGCAATGCAGAAGTGTTCCCCTTTCTCCACATCCTCCAGCATAAGCTGTCATTGGTGTTTTTGATCTTAGCCATTCTGATCAGAGTAATTTTGATTTGCATTTCCCCGATGACTAAGGATGTTGAGCATTTCCTTAAGTGTCTTTCTGCTATTTGAGATTGTTCTGTTAAGCATTCTCTATTTAGATCTGTACCCCATTTTTAAATTAGATTATGGTAGTTTGATTTCTAGTTTCTTGAGTCTTTTGTATATTTTGGAGATCAGCCCTCTGTCAGATGCGGGGTTGAAGATTTTTTCCATTTTGTAGGGGGCCATTTCGTCTTGTTGACTGTGTTCTTTGCTTTAGAGAAGCCTCTCAGTTTCAGGAGGTTCCATTTATTAATTGTTGCTCTCAGAGTCTGTGCTATTGGTGTTCTATTTACGAAGTGGTCTCTTGTGCCTATGTGTTCAACTGTATTTCCCACTTTTTCTTCTGTGAGGTTCAGTGTGAATGGATTTATATTGAGGTCTTTGATCCATTTGGACTTGAGTTCCATGCATGGTGATAGATATGAATATATTTGCATTCTTCTACATGTTGACAGCCAGTTATATCAGCACCATTTGTTGAATATATTTTCTTTTTTCCATCTTACATTTTTAGCTTCTTTGTCAAAAATTAGGTGTTCATAGGTGTGTGGGTTAATATCAGGGTCTTTGATTTGATTCCATTGGTCTACCTGTTAGTTGTTCATAGGTGGCTTATTCATTTTTAAATCCAGAAGCCAGCAGTCTTTTTTTTTTTTTTTTTTTGACCTTCATCTGACAGCTAATGATGATAAACATTCATGATGAAGTACACACAATCTGACAAGGGAGCAAAGTTTACTACTAGCTGCTTGTGCTCCTGAGTGTGTATGTGGGAAACATGTTTCATGTTATCATAACATAAACCAGAAGAATTAGAGATGTTATGTGCTTTCAAAAGTGAAGAGGCTAAGAGTTATAGATTTCAAGTAGCTTTCCAAATTCACATAGCCAAAAGCTTGGAAGCAGGATTAAAGTTAAATATGGAGCCTGGCTTTCTGTCTCCACTGCACATGGTCTGTACCAATATTTTTTTCATAATAGTTTGGTATGTCTGTACATATGTTTTATAGTTTTGAAACGTTTGACACATCTGATGAAATAAACCTGACTCCTTTATATCAGTCCTACCTAGTTCACATTTAAATGTCCTCAAGTACTTTCTCTTTTTTAAAAATAAAAAATATAAAAATAAAAAATAAAAAAACATACATTGTGTGTATGTTTGTGTGGGGGCATGAATGATGTGGAGGTCAGAGGCAGCTTGCTGGAGTCAGTTCTCTCCTTCCACTCACTGCGTAGTGCTGGGAATTAAACTCAGGTGGTCAGGCTTGGCAGCAAGCTCCCTCACCTTTTCTTTTTTTCTTCTCTCTTTTTCTTTTGAGAAAGTCTAATGTAGTTCCATCTGGCTTTGAACTTGCTGTGTAGAGAATGATGATCATGAACTTCAGATCCTCATGACTCCACCTCCTGGGTGTTGGGATTATAGCCCTGTGCTTTACCATTCCTGGTTTTATGTGGTCTGAGGAAAATATCTAGGACTTCTGGCTAGGCAGGCACTCTACTGAATGAGTCATATCCCCAGCCCCAAATGTCCTCTACTTCTATGTTCTCACCCTTTATGTTTGACATATAGGATCTTGAAGTATTTCTTTCTTTGTCATATTTCATTTTGTGTGGTTCCTTGTTCTCAAAAATGAAAGACTCTAAACCAGGCATGATGGAACATACTTGTAATTACAGCACTCAGGCAGGAAGATCATGAATTTGAGACCAGCCTGTGTTTTTGTTTGTATGGAGTTTAAGGCAAGACTGTTCTACATAGTGAGAGACATTGAAGTAAACAACAACAAACAAGCAAAAAGATTGCTTTATAAAAACATCTCCCCACCTCTACCTCCCCCGCCCCCTTTATCTGTGAAGCGAGTTCCTGTTTTGAGGTAATGATGTGTGGGAAAGCAAGCAGGTTTGCCTTCAAATTATGCTTCAAGTTTGCCTTGACTTCCTGAAACCCGGATTTGTGAGCTGAATAAGCACCCTCTCCTTTACCTTGCATAGCTTTGGTCATGAAAATGTAGGATAGCAACCTACAGAGAGAATGCAAATGCAGACCAGGGTTTTGCTGAGACTCCAGCTCAGTGATTCTCAACCCTCCCAATGCTTCAGACCCTTAATCTAGTTCCTTATACTGTGGTGATTCCAACCATAAAATTACCTTTGTAGCTACTTCATTACTGTAATTTTGCTACTGTTATGAATTGTAAGGTAAATAATTTTGGAGATAGAGATTTGCCAAAAAGGTTGCTACCAACATGCTGAGAACCAGTACTACATCACATGTCCTTTTGGATGGCAAAATCTTTGTTTTGGACAAATGTTTTTTCTTTTTTTGAGACATGGTTTCTCTGTGTAACAGCTTTAGCTGTCCTGGAACTAGCTGTGTAGAGCAGGCTGGCCTTGAACTCACAGAGATCTGCCTGCCTCTGCTTCCCAAGTGCTGGGTTTGAAGGTGTGTGCAAACACTGCCTGGCAAAAATTCTAACCTATAGTGTTACAACTCCCAGGAATCAAAATATATACACTTGTATATATAGTGTACAGCATGGTGGAAACTAATTCCCCTTCTCTTATTTTTAAGTAAAGGACCCCTGAGTAACAGCTATAAGGGCCTTTTCTTCTTTTTTCTCTTCTTTTCATCTTTTAAAAGTTTAAATTAGAATCAATTTTATTTTATATATCAATCCCAGTTCCCTCTCCCTCCCATCCTCCTATGCTCCCCACCAACCCCCATCCCATCCCTCTTCTGCTTCATAGAAAGGGTGAGGCCTTCCATGCAGGGTCATCAAAGTCTGTCACATCATTTGGGGGCAGAGCCTAGGCCCTCCCATAGGACCTTTTCAAATTTAAATTTTAGTTACATATGTGATCCAGCATCTTGTTGGAACTTAACTTTTATTTACTGATCTGAATTAGGTTACTAGTTAGCAATACAAGCTTTTATCCTCTGAAGTCTAAGAGCCATAGTCTTCAGGTAGTATAGAAGCAAATAGTTGTTTGTGTTGAGGCATAGATAAATATTCTACAATGACAGAGTGACCATGCAAGGATTAACCAATTATGTCCATAAAAACTGAAACCTGCTAACTTGTGAAAAGTGTGTCTAGTAATCTGTTGATATACACCAGAAGACAGTGTATAATGTAGAATGCAAGTAGTCAGGAATGCTCCCTAGAAACTTTATGCCAATTAGAAGGTAGCTGGAGAACAGAAGATTTTTTTCCTTAGATGGAGTAACCATGGAGTATCTTGGATGACATGATGCATGCACATTGCTGTCATCATTACCAATCATTTATCACTTCAGAAAGTCATGGTGGATGACAAATTACTTCAGGAGTCCATAGGGATACATGGTTTGAAGTGACTCAAGTGACGCAGAATGTTATTATCATTCTCTGTTCTTAGGCTGGGAGACAGCGTGGCCTGCCATGATTACCTTTAATGTGAGCAGTTACAACCCAGGGCCCTTCCTTTTGGTGGATATCCCAGGTTTGGAACAATTCCATGTGTGGATCGGCATTCCCTTCTGTGTGATCTACATTATAGCTGTGATGGGAAACTGTGTACTTCTCTACCTCATCATGCAGGAAAGGAGTCTTCATGAACCCATGTTTTTTTTTTCTTTTTTTTTTTTCTGTCTGTGCTGGCAATGACTGATCTCATCTTGTCCACAGCTGGTGTGCCTAAAACACTCAGTATCTTTTGGATGGGGGCTCGAGAAATCACCTTCCCAGGCTGCCTGACACAAATGTTCTTCCTCCACTACTGCTTTGTCCTAGACTCAGCCATTCTAATGTCAATGGCATTTGATCGCTATGTGGCCATCTGCTTTCCCTTGAGATATGCTACCATCTTGACTCCCAAGACTATTATCAAGATTGTTGTGGGCATCTCCTTTCAGAGCTTCTGCATCATCTTGCCAGATGTGTTCTTGTTGACACGCTTACCTTTCTGAAGGACACGCATCATACCGCACACATACTGTGAGCACATAGGTGTTGCTCGGCTGGCATGTGCAGATATCTCCATCAATATCTGGTATGGATTTTGTGTTCCCACCATGACAGTCATCTCAGATGTTGTTCTCATTGCCCTCTCCTACACCCTCATCCTATGTACTGTGTTTCACCTCCCTTCCAGAGATGCACGCCAGAAGGCTTTGGGCACCTGTGGTTCCCATGTCTGTGTCATCCTCATGTTTTACACACCTGCCTTTTTCTCCATCCTTGCTCATCGCTTTGGACACAATGACTCCCTCACATTCCACATCATGTTTGCCAATCTCTACATTGTTATTCCACCAGCAATGGATCCCATTGTCTACGGAGTGAAAACCAAGCAGATCAGAGAAAAGGCCATTCTTTTATTTTCTGCCAAGAGAACAGAAGATTGATCTATAGAAAAGGCAGGTGAAAAACTGTGCATATGCTTTTAGCAAGTATGAAACTGTGGCAAAAATAAGAGAACTCTATTTAAGGCAAGAAGTGCTTATAGATGCTTTGTGTACCAGGCACGGTTAGGTGACACATAGTCTTATGGAGAAAAAAGAATCCTTGATGACTTCTGTTGTATGACACTGACAAAGAAGAAAGAGATGAGGACAGAATAGAGTTAACCTAAGTGAAAAATCAGTCTGATTTGGAAACTGCGACTGGCACTTGCAGCAAAAGAAATTCATTCAGACAGAGATATGGAAGAAAATAGACCAAATGGGAAGAGTTTAGTGAAAAATCACTCAACGGATCAGCAGATCAATAATTGGGTATTCAATCACAGTTACTGTACATTTTAGGTTTCTGAATAACTGACTTTAAATGTGTCCCCCATAACTCCATAACTCTCCAAAGCCCTTTAGCCCAACATACGCAACTGGGTCAAGAGTGCTACAGAGATGAGAAAATTGGTGTGCACACCAATGCCAGGGGTTCTGTCTTGGCACTGAGAGAAAACAGCTTCTGGCCTCCAAGATTCATTTAGAGTATAAGCTGTAGAGATCTTTTCAGGGGACTAAAACTCTTGAAAACAGATTGGAATTAGGGGCTGGAATTCTCACAATCACAGACCTCAAGCCAATCCATTTAGATACTAAACTAAAAATTCACTCATGCCAGCCAGAGGACTTGAGGGTCTCTGTTCCACAGATTGCACATGCAAATACTCTGGGGCTTAAAAAGATGCCAAGTCTTAACTACAGAGAAAGTTGCAATCCATGTTTATTGCTGCTCTATTCATGATAACCAAGTGTTGGAATAAGCATAGATATCTGTAAATGCATATAATACCATGGTGTGGGGGTAATGATGTAATTATATTATAATCTCAAAAAAATAAAAAACAGTTATTGAAGAAAGAGAACCTATGGTACCTAAACAATGGAGTTTTAGTCAAAACGAAAAACAAAACAAGAAATTTGCAGGAAAATGGAACTGGAAATTGTTGTATTAAGCAACGTTGCCCAGATTTAAAAAGTCAAACACTGCATTTCTCTCATGTGGATCTAATATTTTAAGTGTGTGTGTGTGTGTGTGTGTGTGTGTGTGTGTGTGTGTGTGTAAAAACTATAATACTAGAAAGGGGACCATGACAAGGGAAAAGAGGTCTTTTCTTCTTCCCTTAATTTTGAATTAAACGATTACATTTAAAAAATCCGGGTTAGAGATGAAGTTCTACAAGACTTGTTATGAAAAGCAGCCCTCTTGACTTCTCAGCCCATTTCCACCTCCCCAGCCTCTGGTGCAGTTTGCTATCTTTCCTGGTAGTTACACACCTAGGGTCTACACGATGCACTTGTATTTCTTTGGGCCATATGTTCAGTCTTTGGCATTACCTGCCCATACTTTATCATGGAGGAGAAGCATCTGACTCATTTATCTTCCTGACCTCCTATTGGGACACTCTCTCTGCTCCCCTTTTCCTTATGATTTTGTGTTGTTTTGAGATAGTCTCTTTTACTCTGCAGCCCAAACTGGCCTGGAACTCACTAGGGGAGTAGGTTGGCCTCTAATTGGAAGCAGTTTTCTGGGGACTGCAGGCCTGAATCACCATACCTGGCTTGACAAAATGATTTCAGTTTGACAATGGTATTTTCACACATATATGCCGTTATGCTTTGTTCTCAACTGTCTTTTGCTCCTGTCATTCTCCTGTTATTCTACCGTGTCTCCCATTTCCTCCAGAAAGTACCACCTTTTCTTTCTTATCACATCTATATTGCATTGCCACTTTGGACAAAGAAGTTTTAAGTGGGGGAGGTATGGGGTGGTGGTAATAGAATATGTGTGATGTGAAAGCAGAAGATTGACACTGTGGGGAGAAGTAGGAACAGCAGAAGGATAGAAGAATTGAGAGTGAAGGGGGGATATCAATGAAAGGTGTGTATGGAAATGCTACAATGAAACCCCTCTTAATTGTGTATACAGAGAGAGAAAGAGAATACTAAATAAAGTCAGTAGCTTAATACTATCCAAAGACATTGTACAAATCTCACTATCTGAAGAGCAGAACCTCTACTTGAAGCGACTTTCTAAGGTTTACAGCAAAAAGATCGTTAATACTGACCTGGCATAAAATTTTGATGACATATAAGCTCAGAATCATTAAAATAGACTAAGGATACAGAAAAAATATTTAGGAGTTGCAGGGCATGTTTTATTATTGCTGTTAACTATAGTTGTCCTTTGAAAATTTAAATTGTATAACTACTATTTTTTTAAAATTAAGATGCCATATGTCTTTCATTAATGTTTTTTACAGATTAAAAAAGAAAAAAATATACATAAGGTATAATGTATATTGCTATACATGCATATATCATAAAATCATTAAATCAGTGTAACTGATAAGTCTTTCAACCATTTATTTGCAGCAGGAATATTTTTGATTCTATCTTTAAACAGCAATTTTGAAGTATATAAATTGTTGTATTTTCACAACTCAGTCTAATCACCCTGAAGTTACCAGAACTTTTTTATTTCATTTATTTATTTATTTATGTTCAACTCTGTAGACTTTGGTTTCAAAGTCCAATCTCCTGTTTATTGCCTCTTGCTACTCTGGCCTCTGGTATGCATCCACTCACTCTGTGTCTGTTAGAAGTCTAGTCATCAAAATCACATCATACTCTGAGAGGATTCTGCTTTCTGTGTTGAGCTGCTAAGCACTCCCACACAGCAGAATATTTTCTGGTAATTTCCATCTTGCTGAGAACATGGATTAGATAAGAGCTGATATTTTAAAAGCTTTCTGAGGATTCAATAAATAAATATATTCTGAGTTAAGATAACTTGTAAGTACACACTCTATTCATCTTGGTAGGAAGTAAAACCCAAGATTGTTCACTGACACGCACGAATGGCTTCCATGAAAGACTAATGGAGTTACAAAGCAAAACAAAAGAGAGAAGGAACCATTGTGTGTACTGTCTCGTCTTTCCCCCTCCCACCACTCTCTGTCTCTGCCCAGATGGTTGCTATTATTTCCCTATCTTCCTTCCCAAGAGAATGTACATTTCTAAATTTCCATGGCTTCCCAGTAACCCTATATGAGCCTTTGCTTTTTATAAGTGATCTTAGTTTTTTAAAAAATTAAGTAACTACCTAATTATTTTTATTAGTTGACAGTTTCATACAATGAATGTGTTTTGATCACATTAATCCACTCCCCAGCTCCTCCCAGGTCTACTGACTTTTGGATTCACCCAAACTCAACTTTTTTCTTTTTAAACCCATCAAGTCCAATTCGTGATGCCTATATACTCTTGGCTCTGTGGTCATCTGCTGGAGAATCGATCTACTAGAGGACACATTGTTAAAAAAAACAAAAAACAAAACAAAACAAAACAAAAAAAAAACCCTGACTTCCTTGCTCCCAGAAGCCATCAGCTTCCCAGGGAATGTTGGCTTTCTGATCTTGTGATGTCAGTACAAAAGGAAAGTGTATGGATTTTGGATCTGCAGATTGTATTAGCCTCTCTGTCAGTGTCTGTATTATTGCAATTGCTACTTTCACTTCAGATCCATCATGTGGAAAACTGAGATTATAATTTTATTTTGAATTTTTATTTATTTTTTTATTTACTTTATTATTTTACATGTCGTTCCCAGTCCCCTCTCCTTCCCTCCCTCCCTCTTTTCCTCTCTCCCTCCCTCCCTCCCTTTTACCCACTCTGCCCTCTCACATGCACCCTAACCACCCTCCCCTCCCATCCCCCCACCCCAATTGGGGTCATGTAGATCTGACAGGTCAAATGAAGTAGGCACTAGGGCTTCTCTCCTGTCTCTAGGTTAAGGCAGTTATCCCTCCATGGGGGAATGTGTTCACAAGGTCCTTTTGTGCACCAGGGATACATCCTGGCTCCACTGTCTGAGGTCCCTTAGACTGCTCAGTCCTTCTGGCTGAGACCCATATTCAGGGGGGCCTGAGTCAATCCCATGCTGGCTTCCCAGCTTTCAGTCTGGGGGCCCTTCAGCTCCTCCTTGTTTAGGTCAGCTGTCTCTATGTGTTTCTGCAACTTGGTCTGTCCTCTCCGTCTGCATCTGGGTTCTAGTTCAACTCAGTGTTTATGTATGGGTGTTTGCTCCTGCTTCCAACAGGTATTGGATGAGGGCTCCAGGGATAATTTAGTAGTTGATCTCACTATCCAGGAAGGGCATTTATGGTAGCCTTTTCAAGGAAGCTCAAATTGTTAGTTGGCAGCAGTCTTGTAGTTCTCTAGACCTTTCTTTGTGTTCAATTTAATCTTCAAACCAATATTGGCTCCCTCTTTTATGTTCTCTCTCTCTCCTGTCTTCTATGCCTAACCAGACTCAATCTTCCTAGTCACACATGTTTTCCTCTCCTCCCCTCGCTTTCTCCTACTTCTCTCTCCATTCACTGCCCCCCGCCCCACTTCCCCTGTGCTCTGGGGGATTTGTCCCTTCCCAGTTCTGTGAGGGACTTTATATGAATCTCTTAGAATACACCTTGTATCCTAGTTCCTCTGGTGTTGTGAATTATAGGCTGGTGATCCTTTGCTCTAGGTCTCAGATCCATATATGAGTGAGTACATACTATGTTCCTCTTTTTGTGACTGGGTTACCTCATTCAGGATGGTTTCTTCAAGTGCCATCCACTTGCCTGCGAATTTCAAGATACCGTTATTTTTTTCTGCAGAGTAGTTTTCCATTGTGTAGATGTGCCACATCTTCATTATCCATTCTTCAATTGAGGGGTATCTAGGTTGCTTCCAGGTTCTTGCTATTACAAATAGTGCTGCTATGAACATAGTTGAACAGATGTCTTTGTTGCATGGATGTGGATCATTTGGGTATATGCCTAAGAGGGAGATTGCTGGGTCCTGTGGTAAACTAATTCCCATTTTCCTGAGGAACTGCCATACTGATCTCCAAAATGTTT